AAGGAACTCTTACCATTTGCCACAGCATGGATGGAACTGGAGAGCATTATGCTAAGTGAAATAAGCCAGTCAGAGAAGGATAAATACCACATGATCTCACTCATTTGTGGAATATAATGAACAACATAAACTGATGAACAAGGACTGATCCAGAGACGGAGAGGCATTGATTGGACTGTTGGGCCTTGGAGGGAAGGTAGGGCAGGGTGGGGGTAAGGGGGAAAGATCAACCAAAGGACTTATATGCAAGCATATAGGCCTAACCAATGGACACGGACAACAGAGAGGTTAGGGCATGAGCAGGGGGGGGGAGTAGGGGGTAACGTGGGGATAAGGACACATATGTAATATCTTAATCAATAAAAAATATATTTAAAAAAATAAAAACAGTTAAATATTTTAGAAAATTTTAAATTGTGTTTTCTTATTTGTCATATTTAATTAAGTTTGTTGCTTAGTTCCTCAAGAATTGAATTACAGGAATGAAAGCTATGTTCTATTGGAATTCAGCTAAGGGTGAACATTAAGAGTTCATTTTGAATTTTTGGCTTCTCTTAGGTATTTGGACTTGCTCAAGGACTCAAACCTTATTAAAAGTCAGGATGTGTTTACAGTCATCCGATATATCTCATATAACAGCTATGGGAAGAGCATGGCCTGGAACTGGATACAGCTCAACTGGGAATATCTAGTCAACAGGTGGGATGATCAGATAATGTTTTGTGCTCTTTGTTGGATACCATCTACAATTCTTTTTCTCTTTACTGTACTTTCTCTGACATCTATACAATATCTGAAATGGCATATCACCAGAGGTAATGGGTCATGGATTTTTTTCCCCTTCCAGGGAAGCAATATACTAATTAATTTTCCGCATAATTTCTTTTTGGAAAGTATTGTTTCCACCGGATCTATAGAATTCTGAAATCTGAGGAGATGCCTAAATCACATTATTTTTAGTTTGGTTAAAGCAAGTTAATATAATTCTGCCTGTTGTGATAGCACCTAGCATAATGCCAGGCACATATTTAGTTCTCAATGAATATTTAGTGAAAACTAAATAAGAATTCCTGGACCTGGGTTCACATTAGAGCCCTATATCCTACTGAACATATATGATGGATAGCTTTTATCTCCCTTGACCAGATAATTAAACTGTAGGTATTTTGAAAAGTTCTTAAGAAGAAACCACTTCCCAGGCAATAACAGTTTAAAAATGTAAAATAGCAAATTAACTAAAGAGATGCTTTCCCCAATTTTTTATTTTTTCAGCCCCATACAAAAGAAATATTATTATTCTTGGTTCTGATCCTCTAAATGTAATGCTTATTTCCATTAAAAAGATATTTCTTTTACAGAGTGTAAAATAGAATATAGACTATGTATCCCAAACAAACATAAAAACATCTGGGTTCACATTAGAGCCCTATATCCTACTGAACATATATGATGGATAGCTTTTCTCTCCCTTGACCAGATAATTAAACTTTGGGTATTTTGAAAAGTTCTCAAGAAGAAACTACTTCCCAGGCAATAACAGTTTTAAAATGTAAAATTGCAAATTAACTAAAGAGATGCTTTCCCCAATTTTTTATTTTTTCAGCCCCATACAAAAGAAATATTATTATTCTTGGTTCTGATCCTCTAAATGTAATGCTTATTTCCATTAAAAAGATATTTCTTTTACAGAGTGTAAAATAGAATATAGACTATGTATCCCAAACAAACATAAAAACATTGACCAAAAGCACTTCACTGTGTATAATTCCCACACCAGGAAATAGCCTCTGTTATCCCCTTCTAATCTCATCTGTCTTTCCTCAGCACTGCCTAATTGACTGCCTTATCAGAAATAATAACTACGATGGTAACTTTTATTTGTATTCTTTTTCCTACCCTACTGCAAATTAACTAAAGAGATGCTTTCCCCAATTTTTTATTTTTTCAGCCCCATACAAAAGAAATATTATTATTCTTGGTTCTGATCCTCTAAATGTAATGCTTATTTCTATTAAAAAGATATTTCTTTTACAGAGTATAAAATAGAATATAGACTACGTATCCCAAACAAATATAAAAACACTGACCAAAAGCACTTCACTGTGTATAATTCCCACACCAGGAAATAGCCTCTGTCATCCCCTTTTACTCTCACCTGTCTTCCCCTCAGCACTGCCTAATTGACTGCCTTATCAGAAATATTAACTATGATGATAACTTTTATTTGTATTCTTTTTCCTACCCTACAATTCACCAGAGTGCCATTAGAATGATTCACATTTCTTATTCTTCTAAGATCCAGATTAAATCTCTAGCTCTCAACCAAGATAATCTACATTGTTTTTTACCTATTGGTGATAATATTTTGCCTTTTCTATTCTTGCAATGATTGATTGTAATAGTTCATCCATCTCTATGAAGATCAATTGATTTATGAGCATGCACACATGATGTTTTGTTCATCTGTTTGTAATTCTATATAATGAAAACCTAATATGCTAAGTGTCCAACAGATCGTTCAACCTTTTGACTGGTCGCTATGGTGCGCACTGACCACCAGGGGGCAGATGCTTCGACCAGTAGGTTAGCTTGCTGCTGGGGTCCCGCCCATAGGGACTGAGCGAGATGCAGTCCCTCCCCAGCCCTGATCATGCACCAGTGGGGTCCCTCGGCCTGGCCTGCGCTTTCTTGCAATCCGGGACCCCTCGGGGAATGTCACAGAGCCGGTATCGGCCCAATTCCCACAGGCCAAAGGACCCCACCAGTGCACGAATCTGTGCACCGGGCCTCTATGTTTCAATATACCCAAATTGAGGTCTGTAGACCCTTGGGGACTCCAAGACCCTTTCAGGGTATCCACAGATCAACACTATTTGTATAATAATATAAAAATTATTTTCATCTTATACTTTGTTGACACTTACACTTAAGAGTTATTGGTGGAAGTGGGGTGTCTACCAGTGGAGGTGAGGGATCCCTTCGCCCACTTGGTGCTGGGGGTCAGGTTCTTACAATATCTTGAAAAAAAGAATTTCCTAAGACTCGCACAGGAGAATGAGTGAATTTTATTTGTGTGGAGTTATATCACTTGGTTTTAAAAGTCCCATTTCCCTTAAACCGGTCCGGGAAAAACTGCAGCTAGGGCCTCAGCTGAGCTGAAAGCAAAGCCAGTGTCCAAAGTGTCCATTCCATGGTGGAACTGAGTCCTGTATAACATCAAGTTAAAGTCCATTAGTCCCTTGTGTGTGGGGCCCTCATAGCTATGGGCCATGTGAGTGAGCAGAGCATGGGAGCCCACAAGCCAAGATTCAGGAGTCAGGCCTCAGCAGCAGGAGAGCAAGCAAGAGAGAGATCATTGATGTTTCTGTCTCTCTCTCTCTCCCTCTCCCTTCCTCTCTGAAATCAATAAAAATATTAAAAACAAAACACAAATAAAATCAGGTGTTACCTTGCCATAAAAGTCATAAACATCTGGCCTTAAAATAAATTTATTAGACATAATACTGAATTTTTTTCAAGAAAATTAATTGATAAACAATTTCCAGTGCTAGCTCCAAAGGCTAGCTCACCCAAGGCTTTTAATATTTCCTCATAGTCTAGTGATCTAATTCTCATTGGATATTATTTCAAATTGCCTAATGCATAAAATTATGTAATAACCACATGTTGGACCCACACACACAATGCCCAATATTAATTATGGTTAGTTTGAATAAATAGAATATTCCTATTAAAATTGGATGTGACAAATTAAACATAAATTAGCCAAGTTTTATCCAACTATTTCTAAACTCTTGAACATTTTCCAGACTTCAAAATGAGTGGATTTACTGCCTCCATTTTATGAACAATTTATTGTCATTCTAAAATAAATAAGCTGGTTTTTTAAATAAAGTTTTTGTCATGTGATTTTTATGACACTTGATGGCCACACCACTAATGTTTTTTCCAGTCTGAGACTTAACCACAAAGTTCCAAAGATTCTTCAGAATTTATTCTTTGCTTTTTTTATTTCACTAAACTCTTAGATGAAACTGTGAAGTTGGGTAAACCCAATAAATCAGTAGTGTGGTATGAAAAGTATGGTTTTAATTTATGACTATAGCTGAAATATTAAGTCAATGGAATATGACTAAAGCCATTTAAACACTATCTCACAAGCAAAATAATTTAATAAAAGTTTTGTGTGTATCAAAATCATTTATTTTGGGAAACAATAATACTTCGGTTAATATTAAGTCTAAGAAGACTATTTTTTATATAATTATATTTCAGAATATTTAAGATATAATTGAATTCTTATTTTAGTTTTAAAAGTAATCAATATAATAAGTATATAACATATTTCTCCTTAAATGCTACACTTTATGTGATATTGGTTTCTTGGGAATGAACATATTTTGTTCTTATACTTCTAATATTTATACAGGTAGTTATAGTTTTTATTCAATCCATTCATTGTTGGTTCCCAACTATATCCTTTAATTTTTAGCTTCTAAGAACAAAATACAACAAATATTACAGAAATTATGAAATGTTAATCTGTAGGATATCATGATAGCAACTTTCCTTTCTTAAATTCCCTTATTTATTTATTTATTTATTTATTCATTTATTGTTGGCACTATTATAGATGCCCCCCCCCC